TTCTTCTGGCCATAAGTTCTAGTTAGACTTCAGCTAAATAAAAGTGAAGAATTAACTATCGAAAGAATGTCACTAATAACCTTGGCCAAATAAACCATGATTAGCAAACTGACAGCTCCTAGCATTTTTCTTTGCTTTGTTGTAGTATATACTCACTCAAAATGTCTTTAAATATGTTAATTATATATGCCTTTTACCACCTAAAGATCTTCTGTTTGTCACAGGATTTTCTCACCTATGAGACCTAAATTCGCATAGTTATGGAGAGCTGAAAATGGAATGGTATGTGAAGAAAAGAGCACCATGCTGACAGTGCTTTAAGACCATTAACACATCATTGGGAACTCAGCTATACAAATAGCCAGCCTTAAGGGATCAGCTGTCTTGTTTAAGAATACAATCTATAAGGAATAACAATACAGTGAGGGAGACATAGTGAACATGATATCCTAAATATTGGTTCAAAGCAGCAAGCTATAATACATATTACATAATATGTCACATATTGCAGTCTGTATGATGTGGATTTCGGCAGTAGTTTGGGCTGTACAAGGAAGCCCAGATTGCACCAGCCTGGAAAGTCTATTCTTGAGCTTAAGGCAAAATGTAAAATAATCATTGATTGCACAAGCACTTAGTGAATGCAAGCAGCTATAATGTCTCCTGTATTAAAAGGCAGAACCCTGTTAAATATATGAGCATATCTAAAACATTGATGTAACAAGGGTATTTGGTATGTTTCAATAATTACTGCTCAGTTAATAAAAACCGCAGCATTTTGCCTTTGTTCTGATTCACTTATTATGAAATTTTATTAGCATTTCATGTTATAAATATAACAAGTCTCTCATCTGGGTTTCTGATAAGACATGTTAGAGAAATTTGGCCTGAACCATGCTGCACACTAAAATCTCAAAACCTTTTTATTACAATTGGTAACTATTATTGGTAACTAACATCCGCATTTGACAGGTAAAGAAACTGACTCTTAAAAATCTAACTTTCCCATGTATACATTAACCTTTTGTGGGGTATGAAATCAGTGAAGGCATCTCAGTTCTCCAAAGGTAATACATTTATGTGCATAAAACAAGTAATGGAGATAAAAGCAACAGCCTTTGGACTCTCATTCTTTTTACTTTTTGTTTGTTCGTTTGTTTTAATTTAAAGTATATGGACTTGGAAATCAATTACATGAAAACGCTACAGTCCTGGGCATTCACACAGTTATGCTACTAGAAAGACAATTACATTGGCATAATTTGATTGTGAAAATGTATGGATGAGAACTGCTATAACCACCAGCTGATAAAAACACATGCAGAAAAAACTTCTTCTCATTCAGTGGCTGCAAGACAGGTGACAAAGGGGGCACCAAAGCATTAGAAGCACCAGTTCCTGAGTGTGAGGTAGAGTATGCAGCCAGGCTGGATCCCAGGGTTTTCTTCTGGAACCTGTTTCATGGTGTATCTGAATAAGCAGGTGGAAAAATGTCTTTTTAGCAAACAATGATAAAGAAACGGTAATTAAGCCTTGATGGTGAAGACATAACCGACAGAAGAAAGAGATACGCACTGTCAGTGAAACATATCTAAAAATATGTATAAATTAGAATAAATACTGAGATTGTGATATCTCAAAGCTTGCCACAAGCTAAGATGCATGAACACAGAGTGCTCTATTATAGCTGCCATCAGACCCTCACTACAGAAATAAACAAATATCTCAAGCTTTTTTCATGTCCATATTACCACTGAGTATGGATGAGTTGTTATTAAGTAAGGCTATGCAGGAGCGGCCTTCCCACCACTTCTTTGACAAAGCCACTTTACAAAGAGAATAAAACAGAAACTTGCCTTGAAACATCTTGCTTCAGTGCTCATTTGCCTTTCTTTATTTTTCCTTTCCAGTGAACCACGGCTTCCTGGTATTCTTAGGAAAGGATTGTGAAGCTTACAAATTCCCACCCACTGTTTTTAATCTGAGTAGTTCTAAATCACATGGATTGATAACACAGCAGAGTGACAGGCTGAGAATAAGGTAATGATCCACCTTAGACACAAGAACTGACTCAAATCATGCCTTTTAGTATCTTCTAGAAGCACAAAGCTTGGATTAGAGTCTGTCTTTATGGGGAGGTTGTACAGATTGAGTTGTACAGATTGACAAATGCATGATGTGTCAGGTGGACAATCTGTCTAAAAAGTTCTGTCCTATTTAGTTCAATGCATTTTGAGCATGAAGTAAGTTAGTAGGTGCAGAACATCTGCACATGCAGTTAATAGGTGTTGGACATCTACACAGCCTGGCATCCCAGCTTGGACACAGTACTGCAATAATGTGGTTACATGACTGCAAGAGTACAGCTAGTCCATATCTGGCCAAACCAAGCACTGAGCAGGAGAAAAAAATGCTCATTATATCCATCAGTGGAGATATGCCCAGGAAAGGGGAAAAAATGTCCAACTGCAGAGATACTTATTCTGCTATTTACACTTTAAACTCCTTAGTTTTTCACACAACAGCTTTTACTTGCAAGCATACCCTTACAGGCAGTGAAAAACTGGAGGACACTTCCAAGCTGGTAAGCCTGAAGGCAGCAGGTTCAAAAGTCCTCAGATAGACATTATTATTGGAATGCTTATACAGTCTATGGGCTGCAAGAATGTGTAAGATTTGCCAGTTCTTTTGTTTTAAACTCAGGATAATCCAGGGCAGAAAGCAACACCAGTAAACATAGTTCGGTTGTTACAGGTAGTTGCTGAATCTTGTTCAGTTGCCTGATATTTTTTTAGAAATTTGTATTGGGAGAGCTCTAGTTGTGCTTGCACCACACCCTTCCTGAACCTGGCAGCAGTATCAGTCAGGCATATGTTACAAAATTGCCAAAAGCCCTGACCAAAGGGCACAGTGTACTTACATTACAGGAACGCTAGTGTGGGGAGCAGACTGTGACTCAGAGACTTCCTAGCATAACTCCAGGGCAACACCCTGTATTATCCTCCCGGCATTTCTGTGTGCTTCTAAAGCAGGCATGGTCCCAGAACAAGCTGCAGACATTTGCATACCAGCCAGTCACCTGGGCAGACCTGAGGGAGTAAAAGAGGGATACCAAAGACATATTTAGTCTCATAATAAAATAGATACTACTAGCAGGCAAGTGGGGAGCACAGGGGAATGGCAGAGGAGAACCAGTTCAGATGTTTAAGTCTACAGTTATACTGGGACTCAGCTGCCTAAGCATAGGCACCTCGTTCTGTCGGAGACACAGCAGGATGTATGATGTGGCCTCATGGGGCAGCAGATGTGACACATATCCTATGAGGCAGCAATGGGGAGAACAGCAGCTGGAGACTACGAAGGATAACCCTTGGTGGGAGGGATCAGCTCTGCATCTCAAACCATGGAAGGTGCCTACATCTAAGCAACTGAGACGGGCTCTAGTGGGACCTATGCCATTCTCTACTGAATGTATTGACTTGATCTCCACTGACCACAGCAAGAGTTGTGGTCAGTGGCAAGTTGGCACCAAGGCACCAACATGTAGCCAGATTTTTTTCATTGTGACCCTTATAGTTAGGTGAGATGAATCCAGTGATAGAGTCACTGCATATGGATAAATAACTGATTATTTAAAATGAATTAACCACAGCATTTCAGACTCTTCAGTTCTGAAAGCTTATCAGAACACAATGGAGATGTTGATGACAACGAAGTAATGCTTTTTTTTCCTCTCAGCTTACATTCCAAGTTTTGAAGATTTAAGATCAAACACACAGCCCCCATTTGGAAAGAGCTATTTTACAAATCTGGGCTGACAACATAATATGCTTTAAGTAAGCTTCCCCCAACTCCATCAGATATTACTTCTGCTGGTTGAATTCCAGCCGAGTATTGCACGGATAGCTAAAAGCAAGCATTGTTCAGAAAAAGTGTTCAGTTCCTTCCACTAAACTGAGCCACTTTGATATAGTTAAGTGATAAAATGATTAAAGTCAATTGAAACATTTAAAGGTAAAAAAACCTAAGAGACAGCAAGTCTTTCCCTCTTTTACCCATATCCCCTTCCAAAACACATGCTTGGGAAAACACACTGTACATGAGGTAGCAGGGCTTTTGCTGGCTTGCTGGGAAGCTGAGATCAGGCCTCAGTTAATAAGGAGCTGTCACAGACCCTGCTGTGTGTATGCTCATTGACCACAGAACAAATGGTCACAATCTGTTCTCTAAACGGCGACTTTCTAGTCTAAAGAGGCCTCTAGGAACCGCGCTGGAAGGGAGCTGGGTCAGCCTCTGAGGCCAATCTGCAGATGCCCTCCCGCGAGCGTAGGGCACAGCTGCACACACCTGTGGACACACACGTGTGTTCACACAGGCCGGCTGCTGCCCTGGGCAGTACCTGGGCTGTGTCTATGTTAGCAAGCAATACAGTGCAATAGGAGCAGATGTGCAGGCCTGCCATCCACACCATACATATGTTTAAAGTAGTTCTGTGCTGGACTGCCCATCAGCAGCTGGGATGTACAGTGCCCTGGTTAACTTCATCGAAGAGAATCCAGCCCGGGAGCTCTCATAGCGCTCTCAAATGCAAATCAAAGCACAGTAAGAGGAGATGATCAGGAGATTTGCCTCAGAAACCCACACCTGAACTGGAATTAATGTAGGCACACCAGTGGATTATTGCTGAAAGGGGCCTGTGTGTGTATGTGAGGGGTAGTATACCCTTCTTGCCTTCAGTGATAAGATACACATCTGTTTTTCAGATTCTATGCTGTTGTCTACAAATAAAAAAGTAATTTTCAGGGAAACCTTAGATCTTTGCACTATACATTGTTTCAATCTTGGCTACTGGAGGGTTCCTGTGTTAAACTATATGACCAGGCCAAAACTTACTGTTTTTGTTCCAAGAGAGAAGAACTGTCACCTCTGCCCCAGCCAGAGGCCCTCCCTGTGGGTAGAGGTGGAGTTCAGGACTGGACGTGGCCGGGGGTGGCACTGAGTCCGCAGCGCCCCGTGCCAGGCCAGCCATTGCTGCGAGCTGCACTCCGTGGGCAAACAGACCCGGCATCTGCTCCGCTCCTGCGCAGGGCTGAGCGGCTCAGGGAGCTGGGCGCCCGCCAAGGGCCCAGCTGGGAGGCTAAGGGCTGCAGGAGAGCGCGGAGGGGCCAGCAAATGCCTCTCATCAGGCCCCAATTAGTACAGGCATTATGGGGGAGGATGTTTCTCCTTTGGTCTGTTAGAGGCTTGGCAGGAAAACACTGTAGAGAAACACAGAGTGTGAAGAGCAGGAAAGCGGTAACAGAATGGGTGAGAGGAGAGGGCAAAGGGAGGGGAAGGGTGGACAGCAGAGGGTACGGGCTCTGGTCCAGGTAATGCCACATATGCTGGTAAGTGCATTTCAGCCTCCCCCAGCGCGAAGCTCTTGTCTGGTGACTTTGGCAATAATCTAATTCCCTTTACCTCTGCCTCAAGCGCTACAGGGCTAAAATAGGGACGAACAGCTATGTCTTGCTAGTTAAGAAAGCAGAAGTTTGTTGTTGTGCTAGTGAATGTGGTCTCTGCTTCCACTGGGTTTGACATGATTTCTGATGTTGTGTTACACAGACCTATGTGCTATGTAAGTAGTGGTCATAGGCCAGGTTTCAAACAGGCACAGCATATGTCATTGCTTTCAATTAGAGTGAAGCAGAAAAGAAATATTTCATGTAAAGGAGTAGCCTGGTTTAACAAGAAAGAGAAGGCAAATGCATATTCATGTAGAAGAAACCACATTTAGTGTGGAGGTCAGCACTGATTTAGGTGTTCTTTAAGACCTATATGGAAGGTAAGGTCAGATTTATGTGGTTCACGGCCTTCATGTTTTGCCCTTTCTCAAGAGGTTAATACTGTACTTCCCCATCTCAAGTAAAAATACAAGGCCCAAACCACATAATAACTCTGATAGCAGAACGATTTGAGAGTATGATCAAATTATGTGTAAGATGATTTAAACATTTATTAAAAACATTGTCTGCTATCTGTCATCTATGACCAGAAAAAAAAAGGTTTTCTTCTTTTCTTTTTTTGCTTTTTTTTTCCTTTACTCTGTAGTGTAGTGTGGAAAATGAAAGCTCATTTTTTTCCATGACATCCTTGCCGATCACCCCTTTTCAATCCTTAAATCCTTTTAAAATACATTAAGGAAACTTAGTGAACTAGGAATAATTTTAGCCTGTTGAAGGAACAATATAAAAGCATAAAAGGAAGACTGTTGACCTTAAAATTCAAAGCAACCTGGCTATTTATTTGACTTGTCTTATCTGTTTATATATTCACTGTTAGAAATGCTTAGATAACATTTTCAGAATAAGAGCATCTCTTAGATAAGCCAGCAGTAAACAAATGTGCACATATCTTATGTAGAATGCTTTTAAATTCTAAAAAGGTTAAATAATGGTTAAATTATACTTTAGTAATTATTTAAACTGTTTTATAATGAAATAATGTCTTTGGATAACTTGACAGGATGCAAATCATTTCTATTTCTTGAGCGATCATATGTCTGAGCTAATAGACCTGCGTGGTGCTCTGTGTCCTTGTCTCTGACTGAAGACAGTGGAGGCTCAAGCAGTTTTTAACAGCATTGCCGGATATGAGGAGAACCTGCTGCAATTTTTCACCATCTCTAGTTTTTCTCCTCATCCCCACCAAGTTCAGATTACCTTACTCGGCTGAAGCAGCAGGCGTAAGAGGGAAGGAGAAAAGAGAACCTGGGCATGCTTTGGCCTTAGAGATGAGTGGTGCTCTCAACAAGTCTGTGCAGGCTTCAAATGAGTCACTAAGGCTCAGCAAACGTCAGCTGTGCTGAAATCAGATCAGAGGGCAGGTCCACATCCTGCAAAGCAGCGTGTAAAGCCAGGGGCAGCGCAGGATCCATGGGGCCCCAGATGGGAACAAACACAGTCCCCATTCCCAAGCTTCAGCTGGCCTGTGCCATTGCGCCATTCCCAAGCATTCCCACCCTGAGAGCCAGGATCCTCCAGCTCCTTCAGCCTTGGGAGGCTTCGCCCATCCACCCCCACGCACATACCAGGGCTGGCTGTACAGGGTGGCAGTGCCCATAACCCACACAGGCTTCAGAAGAGTCAAGAGGTTGCTCAAAACTAGCATCTGCTAATGCCTGTTTGCATAATGCCTGCCCCTCTCCAGAAAGTGCTCCAGTTCAGCCAGGACATGATGTTCAGTACTAGAAAATCAGAAGGATCAAACTGGTGCTGATGTAGGTTGGGGATCCTTGAGAGAACCACACACTAACGGTGCACAAAGCCCCTTATGAAGAGACTTATTTCATGGCTGTTTGGAACTTTGTATTTTTCTTGAGAGTGTTCATTATTTCCATTTCATGCTATTTATTCTGTATTTTTTTTTCAGTCTCGGTCTTAAACCCAAGGATTTCAGCTAATAGATTTTTCTATAATGTGGTGCATTATTTCTGTTTGTTTGATTCTTATCTTCACTTTCGGAAGGAGTTGAGCACAATGCTCCTAAAAAGTGAATGGAATAAATACAATGAAAACATAGTACATTAAATATGTATATATATAGTTGACTCATTAAAAAGCTTTATGTGGTTTTTATTTTGTGTTTTGTTTTGTTTTCAATTTGGGGGGGTTAGAAAATGTAGTAATGGAGTTTTTTTTAAGAAGAAGAAGAAATTTAAAGGCATTTTGTAATTAGTATCTGAAGTTATTCTTAAGCTTTTAAGAATGAGAAATGCATTCAGTTAGGCCTATGTTGCTGATCTCTCTTTAAATTTGGGCATTATTAAAGTAATAGAGATTTTATATTCAGAGCCAGCGAACAATAAACAGAGGTTGTGTTTTTTCCTCTCCAGTCAAGGCAAAGTTTCAGTGGGGCTTAAATATTTACTTTCTACTGCAAACAAATAGTATATTAAACTTCTTTTTAAGTAAGTTAGTTGATTTTAATATTAGTTATAATTTTAGGTATTTAAAAATATTTTAACAATACTTTAAAAATCAATAAAACATACAAACCAGAAGCCTAAAACCTACAGAGAAAATTAAACAAATAGATTCTGACAAAAATGGAACTAAGTGTAAAAGAGTATGTAACTATCAGCTCTTAAAAATGTTGTCTTAGTCTTCTTGTTCTGCAAAATCTATATGGTCTTTATATAATTCTTCCCTGCAATACTATTTTTATTTCTAGTGTATAACCTGGTCTGACTTCAGCTGACCCTGCTGTGATCAGAAGGTTGAACTAAAGACCTCCCGAAGTCCCTTCTAACCTAGATTTTCCTATAGGCCTATAATGTGTGAAAATTCTTATCCCCCTTTTCTGAGTCTAAGTTTGCCTGTAGGTGATGCTGAATGTATCCGTTACGGGAGGTGACTGTGGTCCTCAGGTTGTGAAATGCCAAGAGAAGGCAGACCACCCATTCCTACCCTGCAGCTCTGAGTATCTGCATCAACCCAGGGCCCTCTGATCTGGACTCCTGTGTTGTTTTTCCTGAGACATAATTACCACTGGGATAGATGGATTTAGTCCAAAATATCTGCAGTGTGAGTCTTATACTGCAGCGTACAAGGGTGAACTTGCCTGAGAGCTGCCTGCCCAGGGATAGAGAGGGGTAGAGAGAGCTCTGAGAGCTCGCAGGATGCAAAATAGATTGGGGTGCAGCTAAGGGCAAGAGCCACATGTGATACAGCTGGGTTCATACAGCCTGCTGGAGCAGCTTCTGGCATGCAATCTGGTTGAACAGTGCCCAGGAGAAACATCTGCCATGGAGAGGGGTAGCTGGAGCCTTCTGCCGCAGGGCTGGCATGGGCAGCCAGGAGATGAGTGTTTGTCTTACCTCCTCGGCCCTCTGCTACCTGGCAGGTCACAAGACATCCCTAGTTTTTTTTACCTGCCCGCAAATTCTAGCCTCTTCTTCTAGTTCATCACACTGTCATGCCTGTTACCTTGTCTAATTCCACAGCCCTTCCCCCTCAAAAGTAACCTTCACAGAAATAGCTCTGGATATCTGATCCAAGTCACAGAGAATCCTTCAGGGCTATTTTCACTGATTTTTAGAGCAGGCCAAGAGCTGTGATAGCCATTTCACCTTGTTCTTCTTCCCAGGACTCCTGAACACCATTTTACATCACTCTAACAGGCAGCTCGGGCTCCGATAACCCTCCCAAAAGCTCTGGATATCTACTTTGGAAAATCAAGTAGTTTTCCTCTTTTTATTTTGCTCTATAAAAGGTACCTTAGGAAGTCTTAAAAATATGTGCTGCTTTAGAGAGAGGATATCATAACTAACCTTTGCCAGCTATGGTACCAAAGATTCAAAAGAGTAAGAAATAAGCAAATGGCTACTTGATGACAGCTAAATTCCTGGTTGGATACTGAACAGTCAAATGGAATAAATTATTAAAATCTCTAACGCTTCCAGTTCTCTTCTGCTCACTGAATCATCTTTCTCAGTGCAGGAAATAGGATTTGCATGTGAATCCTCACAGTCCAGCAATCCCCCAAGACCTGCAGAAGCTGGTCCCAGCGGCAGAGCTGCACTTTCTGTGAACTTTGGTCTTTGTCATTCTTCCTCACAAAGCAGCACCAGTGTCAGTGGAGGAGGTATCAGCAAGATGTTTGTCTTCCTTTCCCAGAGAGCTGCTTCCCTATTGCTTCCATCAGAAATTTGAAGTGGAAGTCCTCGAAGTAGGGCTAAATGTCATGCTATCCCGTGAGTAAATGTTTATGGGGTAGTTGCTCACATATTTGCTGAAGAAATCTGTTGATTCCCAGAAAAACTCCACAGTATGAATAACTGTGATTCTGTCTAGAGCTGTTGTTTCAACACAGCATGATAAGATCTGACTGCTTCTGTAGTTTTGTTTAATGTAGCTGTTGCAACATAAACCTAACGAAGCTTGAATACTGGGGCTTATGTTTGTTTGTTTTGAATAGCTTTGGAATTGATATAATTATACAGAAGAGTTAAGCCATTTTACTCTCGTTATCCAAGATGTTATTTAATCTTCAGAGTCGATCAGATTAAAAGAAATCCTTTCTCTCTCTTGCAAGATAAATTGCTATAAATCAAGTATTATAAAGAATATGTAATCAGGTCATCTCAAGACTATAGGGAATGTTATTCTGTTTATGCCAAGCTCAGGTGATGTTGGGGTGTATTTTAAAGGACTCTAAAATCCAAAGGGAAGGACATTCATTAGTTTTATTATATGTGGCATGCTTTCACAGTGCAAAAAGCCATGTCCCAGAATCCAATTAAAACAAAAATGTTCCCAAGCTTATTTAAAGCCTCCATAGTGTAAGAGGAATGTACTCATCTCCCTTAATCAAGGATGAAAGTTGCCAAATAGGTTAAATCAAACTCAAAATAGGTATATGTATAAAAGTACTGCATGTTACAGTATCTTGAGTATCTTGAGAAGGTCAAATAGCCAATTAAATACATTTTTATTGGAGACTTGTTTACGTCCATGTGCTCATCCTTATTCTCTGGCCCTGAGTCTCACCTGAAGTGACTGGAACATATCAAAACTATTCAGTTCTGTTATTAGCCAAACAGGTTGGACTCTAGCTTCTATTGGAGAAATGTTCACTAGCACTTGCCAACTCCCAGATCAAGCACAGGCCAGGTAGCCTATAGATCCTATATCTTAATATATGCAGGCACACTGCGAGCTCCTCTTTAGGCTTGGAAGATATTTGCTTTTTATGAACAGAAATAGTTAGAATGCATAGAAAGTGATAGGACAAATTATCCATGTCCATCAAGAAGTGAATGGCAATGCGTTTGCAATGTGCCCATCAAGAAGTGAACTGCATCATGTGTTAAGATGTGTAGCAAAGACTTCAAGCCTTTGGGAAAAAACAAACACTCCCCCCCCAACCCCGCCATCCCATCTCACACCACCCCCCAAAGCAAGCAAACAAACAAGCTAAAAACAGAAAATAACCAGGTCACTTAGCAGTGAGTAGCACTGATTCCTCCTGTGGAAAGAAAATATATAATTTTATGGTCAGTAACTCTGCTAGAGAGACTATTCAAGATATCTTCCCAAGATAAATTAATATATAGAACGTGCATTTACTTCAGTCATTTTGTAAAGAATATCTAAGGAGACACCACTTTTAAGGAAGATTGAGAGATTGCTAGCTGTTTCTGAGTATTTTGTAAAAACAACACACCTTAGGGAGGCAACAATCCTGATTTCATTCAAATTAGGGTTATAAAGTGATGAAACTCTTAGTTATAAGATCTTCGTGTGTTGCAGCTTCTGTAATTGTGTTCTGCAGTTGATACCTTTAGTGCTTTGGTGTTTGATATATGTATTTGTTTAAACATTAGAAATTGCCTTCATGATGGATAGAGTTGGACAAATTTATTTAACATACTTTAATTTTCTTTCTGAAATTCATAACTACTCATATGCCAGCTGGAATTTTTCCTGTGTTCATTGATTATTTGTATGTAAAGCTGTCAAATATATTTTGGTTCAATTTCAGACTCATTCTGAACATTCTTGTGAATATTCTCACTGATTTTTGGTTGAATAGCTGAAGAACTCCAAGTTACATTTAAAGGGGCTGTGTGATTAGCAGTGATTTGTGTGTGTGTGTGTTTTCTTCTTCTTTGCAGCCAGCTTAAGTCGTTGCTGGAGATTAATAGATACTAAAAATGCAGAGCACATCTAATGCTATTTCAGAGATAACTGTGGTCTTTCACAGCAAAAAATCTGCACTGATAATTTTAGGCATTGACTAGGCAAGGAATCAGCAGGTCAGGTTTTGAGGATCCCAGTGGCATATGGATGCTGCAGTTAAGATGCTGGGCTCTAAAATGCCAGTGACCTGTGTGGCTTTGAAACTTTTTGGGGTTTTCCCTTGGATTATGTGTAAATGCTTTGCCATGACTGAAGCTAGCTATTTATAAGACAAGGCTAACAGTAGTTCCCTATTACAAAAACTGTGTGGGTAAGCAAGCCTATGAATGAGAGATTCTCAAAGTATGCTGCCAGTAGACGTGTAAACTACTTAACAAAGTGCTCTGGCTTGTGCCTGTGTTGAGTGAATGACCGTGTATGAGCTTGGTTGCTTTGTAAGGGTCTTTGCAACTTCAGAAGGAGATGCACAATTCCCATTTGCACTAGTGCTTGGGCTCCTGCTTCACTTCTTCCCATCTGCTCCCTGCCTTTTACCTCCTATAGGCACTCTAGTGCTACCGTCTTCATTTTTGCTCTTTGACCACTATAAATCAAAGGAGTGTCACTGACACTGGGAATGGGGTGGGAGCAATAGACGGTAATGAGCTAGTATTGCACACATTATATTTCTTACCTGAAGTCATGTTACAGCAACTCGGATTTTCTGGCTTTCCAGCTGCCAGCAGATGAAAAGGTGCCCCGGACACATCTCTTTATTAATATAAACAAAGTGAAAAGTGGTTTATGTTACCCAACATAAGAGACAGATTCAACCACTTTGTGTTTGGCGATAACTTCAAATGCCAGCTGACTCAGAGGTGTTTTGTAAAACTTCCATTCAGTGGAAAAACTCATGCTGTCAGCTGAGACTTAAGGTGTGCAGGACTTTTCCCTCTTACCTCTGGTTAATGCATCACTGACAAGAGACCTGCTGACAGGCTGAGGGATGGATGTTGCAGTGTCCACTGTTACTTCCATTTTATCATCTGTACGTCTCTGCTGGACCAGGGACAAACACTGTCTGGTTTTGGCTCTTAGGCTGTATTTCACCTAGCCTTTGCAGAAAGAAAGTAATAGATTGGCTCTCCCTCCCTTAAACAAGGCCTAGCTCTTTGTAGGAGTGTGTCACTACATGAACCAGGCTAATTCTGAGATAGGCCTAATTCGGATATAAATGTATTTATATAATATAATTATATATACTAGCAAATTTGACAGTGTGCATTTATGATCACATTTGATAATGTGCATTATCAAAGGGAAGAGAAACTTGAACAATTCTGCCGCTCACAGTAGTTCCTGTCCATGGGAAGATTCTTCTTCAATGGCTTGCAATGCTATTATCATCACCCAGGATTCATAGTGCAAAGGTGGAGGGATCTCACACATCAGGAGAGTCAGATAAAAAGGCCTGTTGCTATTTCTTACAAGAAATTTCTTGTGACATTCACTTTGTGGATAATCTCAGCTTTTTTTTCAGTGAGGGGGGAAGGAAATTGATTATAAAAGAAAGTGAAAAGTGTTTAATCAAAAAATCCAGATTTGTCTTGCAGCAGGTACTAAAAACTATGAAATTTGAAGCAAAATGCAGATTTCTCATTTCTAATGTTTAAAGGCTTTACTTTATCCAAAATCATAAATATATTTAATTTTGTATATCCACTCCAAAGATATAGTTATTGTTCAATGACAAAAATATATCTAGTCTTACTGGTGGCTTTTGCATATAGCAAGGAATGAATAACCATCCTGAGTTTTAATAAAAAATATGAATAGGAATTGCTTAATAAGATTACTCTTACTAATAGTTATGTGTATCCATTCTTGTCTTTTGAAGGAAATTTTATTTTGAAAACAAATCACAGATATCTGAGATTTCTTTTTTTGTAAGGTCCTAAAGCGCAAAGCTACAAAATAGAAGACATGGGAACAAACACATGTTAAAATGTCAGAACTGTGAAGATATATTGGTACATTTTACAGTGTCAGAGAACTCTAAACTGTCAAAGGAAAAATTTAAGACAACTTTTGCAATAAACAAGAATGAAATCTTAATTGTAGTCGTAAGTGCATCACATTATTGCTGAGCTTCATTGTCAGAAGAAATTAGGCTTCTCTATAAGCCCAGCATCCCGTGAAGCATTTGAATATGTAATGATATTAACTAGACTGTTATGCATCTGTGCCCGAGCTGTTTTTAAAGTGAAGGGCTCCCTAGTCATTAACTACCTTTAAACTTTCATTACGTTAGTTTTTGAGGACACCAATTTTTAAGTATGCTGCTATGCAAGCCAGGTCTCTTTGCATCTGTAGAAGAAAAAAAAAAAAAAAGAATTTCTCAGAAAACATGCACTTCACATATCCCTGAGAAGTTCACTCCAAAGGATCTCAAAGTACATTGTGAGGATTTTTTTGTCCTGATTCGAGCAAGTATCCTCTCCCCAAATGCACTAGTGCATGGTCATGTATGTGAGCTGCTTAAGCATTCTCTCAAGGGGAACAGGAAGACACACGTTAGGGGGCCTCTTGAGTTAGGACCTATACATTTAAGAACAAAGAAGTAAAATCAAGGGGGAAAACAGCTGTATAGCCACACTGGAAGGAGGTTAATTTGGGGGGGTCTTCACAGTAGGGTTAGTCTGGGCTCTTACCTTGGAATTACTTTTAACCTTTCTACTTTAACAGTGTGAAGCTCTCAGCCATTTTTATTGGGATTATCAGGGTAGGAGACTAAAAACGTGGCAGACTCTTTATGACCACAGTGGAGGTGCTTCTCATGTGACATTATAGAACTAAAAGTTGGATACTCCAGCTGCCTCAGCTGATTCCCTCTAATTTAGATGACTCGTTTTTAGATGTTTAAGTTACAGCAAATGCCTCTGTCCTGCCTGATTAGAGTTGTCAGGCCTAGAAGGGAATTAGGCCTCTTTGGGAATCCGCCCCGTGCTTCAGAAGCACACGGATTTATAAAACGCAGTTAAGATTCATGCAGTTCCACAACATCTTACAAGCGCATCCCCACACGGGTACGTACAGCTGCGGGCCAGGGACGTGCCAAGGTGCTGCATCCTGCTGGCAGTGCTAGTGCCCCGGGCCCGGCAGGAGGCCACGGGGAGCCTGTGGGGACCCGGTGGCGGCCCCGCAGCTGGGGCGGCCGCAGCGGTGAGGTGGCAGCGCCGGTGCATGGCTCGCTGCACGCCCCAGGCCGCCAGGCGCTGTGCTTTTGAAGCCTGAGTCACTGGCTTTATACGAATTAGAGCAGCAGAAATTGCTTTTCTCATGGCACCCGGTGAGCTCAGTGCGGGGCACGGGGTCCTGCTAGAGCACAGGGGTGGTAGCTCTCGGCTTCTGGGGGGAAGATGCTCTGTGGTCGGCAGGATCCATCCCTAAAACCCGGTGCGGGAAAGAAGAGGAAATGCTGTGACTATCCCTGCTGGGGCAGCACTGGCTCTGCCCGCAGCGCTTAGTCGGGAAGCAGCTGTGGAGTTTCACCCCGGCACAGCCCACAC